CCTGAATTCTTTCTAGTAAACCTCCCTTGGGAAGCCAGTGAATGTCAGTACCTCTGTCTGTGTATCCATAGATGCATTGTCCGGGAAAGAGGAGACTGGCAAAATAAAGAAATCGTGCATTTATTAAGAGCCTGATATATTCATAGCACCGAACAGATTAGCATCATAGCAAAAAGTAAACAAGCATAGAGAAGCAAAAATGCATACATACATCTATACAAGTATGTGAATTTATGGATTTACAAGTCAATCTCTCTAAATATGTGTGTGTGTGTATGTGTGTGCGCGCGCATGAACATGTCCTAAGTTGCTCAGTTGTGTCCGACTCCTTGCAATCCTATGGACTGTAGCCCACCAGGATCCTCTGTCCGTGGAATTTTCCAGGCAAGAATACTGGAGTGGTTTGCTATTTCATTCTCCAAGTGATCTTTCCAACCCAGGGATCAAACTTGCATTTCTTATGTCTTCTGCATTGACAGGCAGATTCTTCACCACTACCACCACCTGGGAAGCCTATACATCCACACGCGCATGCACATACACACACACACACACACACACACATATATGTTCTGAACAAGCAGCTAAAATTTTATGCAAAGTGCTGAACCAGGCATTAGGGCAAACACAAATACGAAGGCAACAGACTCTGTCCCACATGAAAAGCAGGGACAAGCAGATATATAATTAAGCCTGATGGTTGGCTTTGGGAAAATACCCGGAGAAATTCAGAGGAAGTTTTATGAGAGTCCAGAGGAGAGGGAGCCCTTCAGGCTGGTAGGGAAAGGCATAGTGATAGAACTGGCCCTTGAAGAGCCTTGCCTAGATGGGTTCCCGTCTTGTCAACAAAGAAACCAACAAAACACATAAATAGGACCCCAGGAACAAAGCAGGATCCTATCTTATGAAGTTCCGGATTCTGCCAGACAGGCAATGCTTGCTTTGGAATTCTGAGATAAGAATAACCCTTCTGGTGTGGAGTAAGAAGGAGGGAGAGCTGAATCTGTAGATGAAAGACGACAGAAGCCCAGCGAGCCATAAAATGTAGATTCCCAGAAAAGAAGACAGGGAACTCGTTGATTGAGCTTCCACAATGCGTCAGATAGCACAGCATCTCAGGACAGCTCCATGAAAGGGTCCCTGAGATCAGAGAAATGAAGTGACTTGCTGAAGGCCGCAGGAACCCACGAGGGTGACTCTGAGACGAGTCCTCTGAACCAGACACACGCATTCAAGCGCTTCCCAAACTTTAGCACACCTCTCACAGGCTGCCCTCCTGACTTCCAGTAAAGAGATACTGAAGCTTACGGGCTGCCCAAGTGAGGTTTACTGGAACGTAAGCTTTGGGCAAGAAACTGGGTTCACATCCTACCTTTGCTAAAGGGCAACTCTAAACATCGAATCAGTGAGTGTGAGGAAACTCGGGGAGATAGCGAAGGACTGGGGAGCCTGGCAGGCTTGCAGTCCACGGGGTCACACAGATCTGGACACTACTTAGCGACTGAACAACAGCAACAATTGTAATAACGCCCTACACTTACTGAGTACGCACCTTACAACTGCCTGGCAAAATGCCCTGCTTCTAGTTATTACCAAATAAGATATTAAAGGAGTATATCCTAAGAGTGGAGGAACAGGTCTTTTTGTTCTGTCAAAGTAGTTTTTAGAAAGAAAACCCTCAGAAACAAGGGGCTATTTGGAGGGTAGGAGGGAATTGACCAACTATGGGGTACTTAGATGGGAATTACTGCCATGTTCCAAAAATATGGGGACTCCATTACACTTCAGATTTGGAAGTGATCTTAGGAATCTCCTGACTTTTAATTTTACATAGGAGCAAACTTAGGTCAAAGAGTTGACACAGAGTCAGAATTCAAGTCTCCTAACTCTTAGATGATTGCTCTTTGACCATAAATGATAAAAGCAGATGGGCCAAATCCATGAGAGATCAAGGGATGGAGTAAAAGAGGGATGGTAGTATTTGACCTATTATTTGTTACATGTAAATAAATAAGAATGGCATGCATAGGCCAATGATAAGGGTGGGTCATGAACCAAGGGTTATAATTCATCCAGTTCTAATCACTCAATTAAAAACAAACATACACATGTGTACATAGATATATACATCCATAAAAGCATGTGTGGCTTCCAAGACAGGTGGGATAGAATAATAAATGTATGTTCCATGAAAAGACCAATGAAAAGTCTTTTAAACACATTTTAAGCACATTTAGGGGCTAAGTCCCAGAAGTTCACAGAGCTATGAGACTCGGATCTCTTTATCCCTTCCCCTCACGCCGTCACATGGTGACTTGGCCTCTCAGATGTTTGTTTATCTTTAAGAAACTAAAGAGCACTTTGTCCTTGACAATTACAGTAGAATAAATGGGTTTATATAGCATTTTTATAGCTTACAAAATATTATATACCTGAAAGTGTCCTTTAACCTCAAAGCACATTTGTGAAACACATATCCCATTTTAAAAGTGCAGACATAGAGGGTTAGCAGATCGCCTGGCTCAGGGCATGGCACTGACCCGTGTTGGAGCGAATGAGACTTAGAATTATAAGCCCCACATTTTGAGCTTTGGTGGGAGAGCTGACAAAGTCCCAAAAGCCTAGGAATATTCAAAACTATTGTATGCAATGACTTAGAAGCCCTTGGAAGGAATAATTTCCAAATGCCTAGTAGCTGTAATCGAAATGAATTAGTATTCAGGTTCCAATTTCTATTGAGAAAAGAGAGGGATTCTGTAGTATATAATATACAGAGTTCAACGTAGGTCTTATTAGTATCATTATTAAATGCCAACTTCATGACTTTTATACTTTGCTTGGAGTTGCAGAAAGTGAAAGTTTTGCCTAGGCAAATTCCTTCTCCATGGCATTTGTTCTGGAAATACATTTATGATATAATGCCATTTCCATTTTATAACTGGAGAAGCTGATTTCATCCATTCTGAGCCTAAGACTATATGACAAGTTCTTCCCAAAGTAAGAAGATCTGAATCTGGGATCTCTGGTTTGCAGAACGGGGCCATCATCCCTACACACCACATGCCGGCTTTTATGGGGGATGTCTGAGTCATTTGCTCATCCTACAAATCCGCATGCTTCAACCAGCACATATTCTCCACTAGTGTTCACCCTCCCGAAGCAAGCAGGAATGACCCCGGCTCTTAGGCAGGATCCAGGGTAGCCCTGAGCACAGGAGGCATTGGAGGGAAGTCGAGTTAATCCCACCGCAGGCTTCCAGCTCACTATCCACATGCAAGCCTCACACAGCATGTTTTTATCACTGTACTGTTTGAACAACCCAGTAACTAATAATTTGTAATCTACTGCTGCTAACTCATTTTAACTTATTTAACACTTGGAAGGGGAAAAAAAAACAACAACTGTTTTGCCATAAGGGGGAGCTTTTGAGTTCTACAAAGAGGGGGAAAAAAAAGAAAAAAAAAAAATTACATATATGTCCCAGTTCAAAACAGATCTACAAAGCAGCAAATGGTCAGATCCTTACCTGTGACTTGAGCAGTGTCAGAGGGATCTGAATTTCTTATACGGAAAAAAGAAGGCAAAATGATAGGTGTTTTATTTTATTTTTTATATAAAGCTGAAATAATTTCTAACAAATTTCTAACAAATTTAAAAGTATTCAGGAGTGTTCAGAGACCTAGTTGTGCTGAGTCTACAGCTTCGGGAAAGCAAATGCCTTTCCTAGTTGCTTCTGATGATTCCTTGAGGACTTTGGGACAACATTTGGACTAGCTGAAGCCAGCAGCACCGGGACTCGGAAAAGAGGGGGGAGACCTTCACCACTGCATAACTTTAAGGGGATCCCAAGAGGGAAAAGGAGAGGGCAGGCAGGAGAAGGGAAAGAGGGAGAGGGAGAGAGATGCCGAGTGGAAGGAGGGAGAGAAGAGAGTGAGGGTGAGAAGGGAGAGCAAAAGAGAGGGAGAAAGAGACAGCATTACCAAAAAAAAGAAAAAAACAAATCTGAGAATCAAGTTTCAAGACTCTTTATGTGCTATAGAGAAGGATGAGGTTGACCAGCAAAGTGCAAAGGGGATCCTGAGAGAAGAGAGGTTTTTCTCCCCGCTAGGAGGAAAAAAAATAAAAAATAAAAAGGTGGGGGGGGGGGAGTGAAGGAGGGGAGAAAAAAAAAAGCAAGCAAAACAAAACAAAAACAGGAATGTGTGTTTTGAGCAGGAATGAGGAGAGCTGGGAGGACCATAAGGGGGTGTGTACAGAATTTCATTAAATTGTTACTTTAAGATTGTCTTCTTAAAAAAAAAAAAAAAGGAGGGGGTGGAGAAGCGGAGCGAAGGAGGCAAACGGGAAGGTGGAGGACGGCTGGGTAGCTCGGCCTCTCCAAACTGATTGATTAGTCATGATCCCCGCAGTTTTAACTAGGACTCATTCAATTGGGAAGGTGGAGCGCTCGGGAGCAGATTAGCATACGCTTGTTTACTCATCTTCTGAGGGATTTTTCCCCCCTCTTTTCCTTTCATTTTGTGAAGAAGGAGGGAGGGGAGGGGGGACTGGGGTGGGGGGAGAAGGGGGCTGTGGCTTGTGTTATAAAGGACGCAAAAAATAAATAAATTAGAGCATCTTTTGGGGGGGAGGGAATTCAGCGGATCAGTGTCTTAGAGGAGCTTTTTTTTTTTTAAGAGCGAGAAATCATATAAAATAAAATGAAATAAAACAAGGAGGAAGGCAACCAGCTGTTAGAGGGGGAATAAGGCAGATAAAGGAGCGGAGAGAGAAATTAATTGCCAACCAGGAGGAGTTGGGCAGTATTTTTTCAAAGGTGGGGGGAGTGGAGCACACACCTTGAGGAGGAAAGCCAGAAAGAAAAGAAAAAAGCAAGTGGAAGGGGGGGCTCGCCCAAGAAGGGTGAAGAAGCGAAGAAAGTCGAGGCGCCGAGGCTCCTAAAGCTGGCAGCTCCGGGCGGCGGTGCAGGGGCGAAGGGGGGGCGGGGGGGACCGTCGGACATGCGGCTCTGGAGTTGGGTGCTGCGCCTGGGGCTGCTGAGCGCCGCGCTGGGCTGCGGGCTGGCCGAGCGCCCCCGCCGGGCCCGGAGAGACCCGCGGGCCGGCCGCCCCCCGCGCCCCGCCGCCGGCCCGGCCACCTGCGCCACCCGGGCGGCCCGCGGCCGCCGCGCCTCGCCGCCGCCGCCGCCGCCGCCGCCGCCGGGCGGTGCCTGGGAAGCCGTGCGCGTCCCCCGGCGGCGGCAGCAGCGGGAGGCAAGGGGCGCCGCGGAGGAGCCGAGCCCGCCGAGCCGGGCGCTCTATTTCAGCGGGCGAGGCGAGCAGCTGCGCCTGCGAGCCGACCTCGAGCTGCCCCGGGACGCGTTCACGCTGCAAGTGTGGCTGCGAGCAGAGGGGGGCCAGAGCTCTCCGGCGGTGATCACAGGTAAGCGGGGACGCCCGGGCGGGTGCTGCACCGGCCCCGCGGCCCCAGGGGCGCGCGGGTGCCTGGGCGCGGGTGACGGGATGGTCGGGGGCTGGAGGGTGTGTCTGTGCAGGAGCCGCCGCTCAGCTGGCGGCTCAGAGGCTCCGGGACGAGCTGCGAGCCTCACTTTGCCCCATCTGAGGAATGGGCGTGCTCGGAAGGTGTCTCTGCCTAATCCCTCGGGAAGAATGCAGGGAGCGCTCTCGGCCACCCCAGACCGCAGTTGGTGAGGGCTGGTCCCGGGGAGCCTTGTGCACATGAATCGTGTTTTGGATGGTCAGATGGACTGTCTCTGTTCGGGATGGAGGGGAGGATGACCCAGTTGGTATGCATGTGAATAGAGGCTAGGGACCATTGATTTCTTTGGCTTTTTAATGGAGATGACCCCCCACCCCCGCTTTACTTAGCCCAGTTACCCTGAAAGCCTGCAAGGTTGTTGTGATCCTCAGGACTTAAAAGTACTTGAAGTGCCCCAAAGTTGCTCTGTACTTGCTGCCTGCCTCTGGGATTAACCCCCTACCCCCAGCCACCCACAGACACGCACGCACACTGCCGTCCCGTGTTCTCGCTTTCCAAGCCCTTTGCCTGTCATTCGGAGCTGGGGTGAGACTTCCCGCATGCACACCCAGCCAGTCTTCCCGGGACTAGGCTGCGAAACGGGGCGCTTTTCTCATTTGGGACTTTTACAAGCCCGTAATGAATTTAGGTTCCCCTCCTCACACCCTCCCCTTTCCATAGCAAAACCCATAGTGAAACCGGACACTTTGCGAGGGTTGCAAACCTCAGAAATCCTCCAGCATCCATTTTTCCCCCTCTTAATGAATCTGTGGCAATGCCTTTAATAAAACTGGGGGGCGGAAAGGGGGGGCGGCGCTGGAGGAGAGGAGGAAAGTTTTGCCTCTTCTGGCTGGGAGATTCCCCTCCCTGCACAAACAATCTTGCCCCGTCCTCGGACGTCTCAGAGTAGGGGTTCCCCCATCGCTGCAGCCAGGAAACGTGTTGGAGGCGTTTTGCGATCCCACCCCCTTACACACACTTTCTTAGAAGGGAGAGCTCTGAGTTCTCCGGGCAGTCCGGCGGCTTCTTTCTGTCGTGTCGTGGACCTTCTCAAATGTTGTTAACTCTGTCCTATTTACATCAAGCCCATTTCGGGGACCCAAACTCGGCTGCGTACTAAGGAAGCATATACCCGCAAAGCTCCGCTCTCCCGGCTACCAAACCCCAAACGGAGAGCTACAAAGTGACTTTCCCCCATGCCTGACGTCATCACATGCTATTTTTTTCTTCTTCTTTCTTTTCTTTCTTTCTTTCTTTTTTTTTTTTTTTTGCGTCTCAGGAAGGAGAGGGAAACGGAGCTCATTCAGTTTTAGCCCCCAAGCCCCAGTCAGCCAGAGGGGGTTATAACGTAGCGGAGAGGAGACGGTACTTGTAATGCTGATGCTTATAATTCAGGGCTGTGGTGTGTTTGCTTCTCTTTCGGAACACAGGAAAAACACAGAGCCTGCTACTTGGAGGTTGTTTTTTTTTTTAATGAGTAGATCTGATTTTTTCCTAGCCTATACCTGTGGTACAGGGGTTTGGAAACCTTCTCCTCCAGGGCGGAGAGCCCGGGGTTATAGAGGTATCATCAATGAAAAGGTAGTAAATGCATTTCTTCAAAACAAACAAACAAATACATATAGCACCTGAGATTCCTCGGGAGCCTGCTTTATAAATGTCTGTAATTCAGACAAGGAGCCCCCTCTTGACACACACACACTCTCTTGAGCACTCATTCACTCTCTCACACAAAGATTGTGCAGTAAAATACTTTAATTGGATGGGGGACGTTAGGTTATTATTGCTTGTATAAAATGCCTGGTCCATTTTATGTGTGGAAATAACATTCCTCTCAAAACGAGAAAGAGAAAAAAAAAAAAAAAGTCACGGCTGCGGTGTAGCCCCAGAAAGCTCAGAGCTTTCCTCCCGAGGATTCTGGTGGATTTTTTTTCCCCTCCCCTAGTTGAATCTGAGCCAGATTTGACGGTGTGTAAACACCTGGCCTTGAGCCAGAAAAGACTCACTCTGCGTATCCTCCACACGGTACAGGCTGTGAGACTGAAAAGAACCTGCTTCTCCTTGAATTAAAACGCAAACAAACAGAGGTTCTTTGCAGAAGCACTTTTGCAGCTCCTTCCTCCGTGTCAGTTCAGACTGGGAGAGGCAGGGCTGGCTGAGGTGGGCAATTTGGCCGAGGGTGCCAAGCCACGTCCTTCTGCGGCGACCTCGGGTGCCCGCGTAGCCACCTGACATCTGCTGGCACTCTCTGGTGGGGCGTCGCCACTTTCCTAGGAATCCCTGGTCACCTATCTTGAGAGAGCAGGCATCTCCCAGCAGGGACCTCACTGCTATTTCAGGCAGAGGGTTGCTGCCTCGCTGTCAGGCCAGGCTGCCTTACATCACTCTTTGCTGCAGGATTCAATTGGGTTTCGTAAAGGTCTAATTTTATGGTGCTGTTAACCGGGTCTGTCGTCTGGCAGAGGCAGGCCTTGCTGCTGCTGGGAGGCGGGCCGTGCTCCCAGATCCGCCTGGGATGCTATTTCTACCCCGGTTCAAACTTCACTGACACCAGTTCAGACAGGCACTCAGAGAGGCAAAGAAGACTGAAGGAGCACTTTGCTTCTGAAGCTCAGAAAACATGCCTTTTATTTTTTCCAAAAGGAAAGTGAGGGGATGGAATATATATATGTGTGTATATATATATATATATACACACACACATACACACACGTATCTGTACATGTGTGTGTATGTGAGCGCGCCAGTTGCTCAGTTGTGTCCAACTCTTTGCGACCCCATGGACTGTAGCCCGCCAGGCTCCTCTGTCCTTGGGATTTCCCAGGCAAGAGTACCAGAGTGGGTTGCCATGCCCTCCTCCAGGGGATCTTCCCAACCCTGGGATTGAACCTGGGTCTCTCATGTTGCAGGCAGATTCTTCTTTATCATCTGATCCACCAGGGAAGCCCACATATATATGTGTGTGAGTATTAATAAAAATGAAAAGGCTTATGCAGGCAAAAGCAAAGCTAAAGTTAGAAAGCACCTCTGTGCAGGAGTCTCTGAACGGGCCACCCACGGTGGATGGTCTGAGGGTTGAAGAGTCCTTTAAGGCTGTTGTGAAAAGGGTCCTCGGAGGTCCCCCAGGCCAGATCTTGTCTCTTTGGCCCAACAGGGAGACAGACGCAGCAAGGGGAGGGGTCCCCAGTGGCAGGAGCTAGGATTTGAGCCTGGGCGTCTCCACTCCCAGGCCTTACCCACTACCCTGCTGAGAAAGCCTGTCCGAGAAACACCGTCACCTCCCACCCCTCACAGACCCACCACCCAGGCACTTGGGGCATGGCAGCTGGGGTTCCCTTTCAAGTCTGGGGGTGCGGGGGGCTTATTGACACATCCTTTAGCTTTTATAGCATACCAGGCAGGATCCAGACCCCTGCCCCTCATCCTCACCTGCCCTCCCCCACCATACCTCTCCAGTTTGACAGAGAAAGAAGGGAAAGAAAAAGAAAGCAAGACTCAATTTGCTCCAAGGAGCAGAGGCCCCGAGCAGCAGTTAATCTTGTTAAAGTTTCTCTGACCTTCTAAATAAGTGAGATGTGGACCCCACAAGTACCGCTACCTCCTCCCACCCCCATCCCTCGGTGACCCAGAATCCCTGCTCCCAAGGAGGGGACAGGATTTACCTGAATCCCATCCAGCACCTCCTCCTGCCATGTTTCTTTCCTTTGTCCTAAATGTTGGACTCTTGAGTTGACAGGCCACTGAGAAGAGACTTTTATTTCCTCCCTTCTGCAGCCCACGCTTCCCACAACCCACTCAACCCCCAAGAAGCCTTGGCTTTATGGGCGGAGGACACTTGGTGGCAGGAAGGAAAGTGACTCTTCCCGGGCGCCTCCAAGGTGCCAGGCCCTGAGCGAGGTGCTTGCCTTGTGTCTGCGAGGTTCACCCTCACAGCCACCCTGTAGGGTGGACGTTGTCACCTGTTTTCCAAGTGAGGAAACAAAGTCTCAGAGGGTGGAAGCTACTTAGTCCAAAGTGGACAGAGCCCGGGTGTGGCCTCGAGCTGCAAGTGTCCGCTTCTTCTTCAGCAGTCCTTTTGGAGAGAGAAGGAATGACCCCCCTTTCCTTCTTTAGACCTGCTGTGGTCCACTCCTTTCTGCCCCTCTGCGTGCTAACTGTATTCCTGCAGATGAAATGGGATAAAAAGTGAATCTAAATCTCCTTAGATCTCTGGGTGTGACTCGCATATCTGGGTTTTTTTTTTTTTTTTCTCTCTTCCCATCAAACTATCTATCAGACAGACTGGGCGTGGAATTTCTGTTGTCAATGACTTACTGTGTGATTTGAGTCAGGTCACTTTGTCTTTCTGGCCCTTTGGCTTCCCCTTCTGTAAAATGGGCATAACGGTGTCAGGATGATGCAGGGGAATCAGCGGCAGCAAGTACCTGGCACAGAAGCAGCTCGTGCTGGGGACTCAGTGGCAGTGAGCGGTAGCTGGATCCGGTAAGTAACCGTCTTGCCTTTCCTGATGCACCACCTTGCCTTCAGCCCGGTTATGCCTTGTTAGGGCTTCCCCGCTGGCATGGCTGGGGAGTCTGTCCAGAGTAGACGGTGCATCTTGGGGAAGGGTCGGGCCCCTTCAGATCCCTTCCTTGCAGTTTGGTTTCCTCTTTTTTGACCTCCTTGGATACTCCTTGGGGATAAGGGTCAGAGGAGGGCCGCCACCACAGGACCAACGAATAAGACAGGCAGTAGCAGCCAGGGGGAGGACACTGCCCCGGGGACAGAAGGCAGATGGTGGCCACAGCGCATCCCGCTCACAGCTCTGTGGTCGCACGCCCCTCGCTCCTTCCCCAGGCGCCCCCTGGCTTTCGCGTTGCCCCGGCCAGCACTGCACGTGGGCGGATCGGGTGACAGAGGCCGCA